GGTGAATCTTCAAAGGATTATCCATAACTTGCCATATGGAGGGATGGTTGAAGATTATGCTAATATGCCAATTTTTTTTATTCAGATTCTGAGTTGATTTATTGTATTAAACAAAATAAGTATTTTTTTTTTAGATAGTACGTACAACCGATGTAATTTCTTATGGTGAATTCAAGTCACCAAAAAATAATACATTTATGAACATGGTGTTTTGTAGTGCTATCTATTAAAAACAATGAATAATGAAAGAGAACTTATGGTTTCATTTGCTACATTTATGTAGGATATTTCTATTTCGGAAGGAAAAATTAATTAGAGATTTTCTATATTTTTTTTTGGACAGGACTCTTGGTATGTAATAGTTGGAAATAGTTAAAATGTAAGTGGCATTTTGTCTCGGATTTTTGGTCCTATATTGTGCATATATTGTGTAGTTAATAAATATATTTATAGAAATATTTAAAGAAAAAAAGGAAAAAATTGTTTGCGTAAATTTTACAAATATCTCTCCATGTTATGTATTCTATTTATTTCAGCCATATATATCTTAAATCATAAAATACATTGATATTATATAGCCCAAACAATTCATACGAAATATATATGACAAACACTAACTATTTTTATTTATAGCAAATATGTATTTACATGTCAATATAATCCACATAACTTTAACAAATCAATATATAAAATTTTTAGCCGTGCTTGACGCACAGGCTTTCCCATAAATAATGTAATCTCGTCTTAACAAACATTCATATAGAATTTTATACCTTTTAGTGTTTGAAAATGTTTATAACATAATTCGTCGCATTTTGGTTCTTACACTACGTAGCGTAAATAAAATTTCGTGTTGCGTAAACTATAAAAGTATAAAATTTAGTTTGTTAGAAATATCAAAATATTTTTACATAATAAAACTGGGTGGTTAATTTAAACAATTATCTTAATACATATTTTATTAAAAATAAATTTTATAATAAAATAATAATTGAGTATTATGATGAATAAAAAGAGAATAATTTTATTTTGGTATAAAATGTTCGAATATAAATGGAATGTATTTTATTTGGTATGGATAGAAGTGTATTTGAAAATTTTGGAACTAAAATAAGTGATATGAATTATTTTGCATGGGTATGAAAGTCAAATTTTAGATTGATTTGTTATAAAATCAAAGTGATATGCCTTTCAAATTTTAGCATATTCCAATAAGAAATAGCCATAAGATCTTGATGATAATTCAACAATTGGTATATATTTCTCTTGAAAATTAGAGAGATCTTTGAACAAATATTTGTTAATAAAAATTAATATTTGTAATTTAATTCTAGAGAATTAGTTGATAAATTTGAATGACAAGGTAATTGACAACAAATTAATAAAATTTCGAGATTAATAATATATATATATATATATATATATATATATATTGTATAGTCCAAATATAGGTTCGAAATTTAAAATTCAAACATATAATTTTTCATACCTTATGAGTCAATATTAATTTGAATGTAAATAGAATATTCAGTTATTTATAGTTTAATAAATTACTCAACTACTTAAATTTTTTGATTTGGATAGTTTATGCAAAAATAAACTTATTTTAATTAATAAAACAATATAAATTTTAATATTATACTTATTATTCACATGGAATTTTAAATTTATGATAAAATTTTATCAAATAGTTATTTTATGGAAATATTATATAATTTATTATCAATTACCTACACTGTACGAGTTGTAACTAATTTTATATATACATGATTTATGTAATTTTTGCTCAATTTAAATTTCATATAATATTTTAAATAAATTAATATAGGTGAATTGTATTACATATTGATTCCATATTTTTAAATTATAAATATTATTTAATGAGCATTTTTAATTTAAAAATATTAATGAACATCTCTTATTCTCGCACGGGATTCATACTAGTTACTACAAAAACAAGATGAAAACATATGCAATTGTGCTCCTCGTCATTGCCTTGGTCGCCTCATATCTATGCATCGTCTTATATTTCGTTGATTACCTCCGCAGCCGGGCCCCCCGCGGCCAAAGCCGCCAGGCGGCGGCAAGAACCGCCACCACCACCGCCGGTGGAAAAGCAGAGCAAAGGATAGTGAGATCTGTATTGGCTCTGTGGGGGTTTTGAAGTAAATTCACCTGTTTGTATTCTTGCTACGTTTTCTATTACAACAATATTATTGCGGTGCAATATAATTAATTGATATACCATTGGTTAACTTACGATTTCGATTGCTATTTCACATATATAATTTGTAGTTATGAATATTAAATTAGTAATTATCGCTAGATGAAAAATGTTGAAATTTATATCGAAATACATTCCCATAAATTCGATTTTCTAACGGTTGAAATTTGAGTGGAAGTAAAAATTTCAAGGGAAATGCATATTCCAACAAACGAAAACACTGAAAAAATAGTCATTAAAATCATTAAATTTCATCTAAAATTTTAATAGAAAACTGATTCCAACGGAATATTTTTGTTGGATATTCGTTGAAATTTTTATTGAAATATATTGGCGTAGGATTTTAAGTTATGCCATGATTTTTACAGATTATGTTAAGCAGGCTTCTTGGACTTGTGTTCAGTGTCTACTAGTGCTTAATTATTGACATGAATATATTTGATAATGGAGTTTGCAGTTCTGCGAGAGCCCAATGGGCTTTATTCAGTGTCCGTTGTACAACGAGGAAGGGATATCTCACTTCTCTCAATTTAGTCGACGTGCTGTCCATAGATGTAAGTTCTTTTAGAAATATTTAAATAAATTTGTCTTGATAAGATAATTTTTTAATAAAGATTCTAGCTTATTTATATAATCGCTATCTAGCTTTTCAAAAGTATATTGTAACTTTTTATTCAGCTGACTTATAAACAAATTTTATAAAACGCATTTATTATTTAAGACATTATTTTAATCATCAGCCATAAATTAACAACTGTTAACTCGAAACATATGAGTTGGATTTACATATTAAATTATCAAACTCATCCAAAATATGATAATTAAAAAGGAGATCATGAACTAATTGAGATGAGAT